TGTGGGTTTGTTTTACTCTATGGTACGGCATTAATTAGCTGAGGTAATGAATTCTTAATGCAAGGTAGTAGTCTGCAGTCTGCCAAACAACAGAGATTTTATACTAGTTCAAAGAAAAAAACAATTATGCAGTACATGGAATAACTATGCAGCGACTATGCTTWTTTCACATTGATTACCAGGGCTTGAAATAGAAATATACAGAAAAGGTATAGAGAGAGGAGTAAAAGGGAAGTATTTCCCATTTTATTTCCCATTTGACACCTGCTATTAGTAATATAATTCCTGTCTTGAGATTGGCATGCTGTCTTCAACTCAACAGCCTTTGTTGGACTGAGTATAAAAGTTCATGGTGTGTGAAATGTAGAGCTCCTTGTCTACATCTGATGCTTTTATTCCTGATAAAACACTCCTCATTGTTAAACACTGCTTAACCATCTCAAGAGTTCATAGGTAAAAACATTATTCATTTCATCAATGATTGCTGTCAATAATAATTCACAGTCAATATCTTATTTTGTAACGATAAACCCTAAGAATATTTACAAAATGTCATTCTTTATGTTTGCYGAGTTGCCCCAAATTGGGACTTTTGATATGAATCTATTACTCTTTACTGCGCAGACACGCACTATCTAACCACTTGAAGAAGGTAAACATAGTAAAAATGAAGAAAGCAAACTTAATTGCAACTCAAACCAAACAGTAGCATTTGAGCAATAAAGTCTAGATCTGCTCATAAATCTGAAAATATGTTAAATTTGGTTTAAGTGGTCCCTGTTAATGTGTCCACAATGTAAACATAATTGCACAAAAAATTGATTTTACAATTTTCACTCTAAAMATTTTTTATTTTAAAAACCTATTTATTTAACATACACATTTTATTCATTCATGTGCTGTTTTGCAGTACCCAATCAATAATATAAGATTTCTCAAAAAAAAACTCTGAGTTCCAGGCGTGAAAATGTWTTCCGAGAAATATATGCTTGAAGATACACAAATTGCATCTTTACAGTAATTCAAGCAGCAAACATACTTCAATTAATAGCTTATCTATTTTTCATACTCATCTATCAAATGACTAGTAATAAAATGTTTCATGTTTAACAAGAATATAATTTGATATTAAAATCATCTATCATAATTAATGTTTATTTAAACAGCATCTTTATTGCTAGTTTTCAATCATTCCCCAGGAGTGAAATAACAAAAGACATGATGGCCTTGTTGGTTGATATAACGAAAGAATTCATTGGCAATTCTTTTGTTAAAATCATCCAAGATAGTGGCTACGCTATGACGTCGAGTGCAAATGAAATAAAAAATTTGTGTTGAATTCTAAAAGATATTGAATATACTGTAAGTTATTGAAATTTCATATATAAACGAAAATTGTTCAAGAGAGTTGTCCCGGTATGATAAATATAGAATGTTAATCGAAGTATTATGATCATCCAAGTGTGGATGTAGTCCTGAGAAGGACTGTTTGATATGACTGACGTTGTCGAAAGTTCAGTCACATCAAACAGTCCTTCTCAGGACTACATCCACCTGGATGATCATAATACTTCGATTAACATTCATTCACCTGGGTTCAGACTGTTCTATACAATAAATATAGAAGTGGACAACTCTAACAGTTGAAGGAAAAAACTTGGTTTGTTTTAATAGTTTTATAAATAAATACAGAAAATAGGAAGATATAGCCTAAACAAATGAGTCTGAAAAGCAGGCTAAAAAAGATCCAAGAAGATTTTAAATGAAAACATAGCCTAAGGGGGGAATGCCCAAACAGGCGTGTCAGGCTACAGGATACTGGTTGCCATGGTGAAATAGGTGACATAAATTTGTGGGTGTTTTGATCACGATTTGGAGTTTTGATCACAATTATCTAGAATGGATATTATTAACAACAATAAAATGTTATTTGTCAAGATGTTATTACAATTGTTTCTTTCACCTTTATCTTTTGTCTTCTCTTATTTTATTTTTTTATGTCTTGATTGATAACCCTGGATCCCGGGGGGGGGGTACTCCCATATATGGACTATATGGCAATGATCCGCTGAACAGAGTATGGTTTTTCAAGCTTCTTGTCATAAACAGGGTATGCAATTTCACTCAAGTTCCAAGTTCTTCCTGAGTTTCCTGTCATATTCAGGGATTCTACTTTCGTATTGACCAAAACTGGTCATTATGGTCGTAAAAAAACCATACGCAAGATGACATGATAATTGAAACAGGAACTCAGTACAATTAATTATATCTTTTGTCATAAACAGGGTCCACAAATTTGAGTTTTTTTTATTATAAACAGGGAAACCCTTTCAGAATCCCAGCGGAACACCCCTACCCAAATTCTGGTGGAGTACCCCCCACCCCCTTGATCCACTACTGCAAACATGTACATGTATTATCTATTAAGATAGATGGAAAGGAATTTAACCTGTGAAATAAATAAATACTAGTCAACGTGTAATAGTCAAATAGACACAAAACAAAACAATGGAATTAGGTCTACGTGTATGAGTCTAATATAGTATTGCACGGGTTTAATGACTTCATGCTAAAATATTTGGTAAAATGATAATATTATAAAGTAATTTTTGTGAGATTGACTTTCAATAAAGAGAACACTAATTTAAACAGTCTTACTCTTTTCTGATTTCATAAATGTTTAGAGTAAATTCAGAAAGGGTTTTACCCGTGAGTGCCTTCCATCCCTACGTCACAAGAAATTGCTGACTGAGTTTACCAAGTGGGAACCCTGTGGTACAGCTTGCTAAGGCAATCAAKTGGAACAATGTACATGTCATCAGAAGTTCGAGTGAGTTGGTCTGTTGAAGGAGTTCTTCAAGACTAAGGTACGTTTTCCTTATACAAGCTTCAAGAGCTATCATTACCGCTAATGCTGAAAATTCCTAAATCTCTGTTACTTCTTTGATGCATGATACCTGAGTCTAGAAGTTGGTCAACGTGTTATGGAGATTTCAGACGAAGCTGTACATTTTGTAAGAACTGAGTTGTCAAAATCTTTCAACAATCACAGAATAATTATTGCTCCGTCTAAAGTTGAAGTGTATTCTGCGAAGACAAAAGACTTCCTTAAAAAGCCTTCTGATGTGAAGTGGAGTTTAGTAGGATCAGGGATTTTAGCTGTTGTTTATGATACAAAAGAGAATAGCGATCGACTACAGCTGTGCTTAACATCGCCAAAGACAGCCAACATAATATGGCAGGAAAATATAGTTCCTTTTACGACTATTGATAGTCCTCATCCCACTTTTCATACTCTTACTAGCACACGAAATTACCAGGAAAGGACTGGGATACTCTACCAAAACAAGGCTGTAGCAAGACTTGTCTTTCAGGTCATGAGTATGTTCACCTCACAGACTCGTTCTCAAAGTTCCAAGAAAGTTTTACGTTCTCAGTCATTTTGTGTTGCTCCTAGACCTAAAGCCACGCCAGGAGCTCGGGACGTGAAAAATACACTGGAAATATGTACTATAGCGTTATCTAAAGTTCATGTTCAGCGAGTATTTAGTACCTCTAGTTCTTCACCTAAGGTATCTGGGCCAATGACGGCCAGTATATGTGTCCAACGTCCACCACAAAGAATGACATTTACACCAGAAAGAAAATTATCAAGTCCCCCTGCGATTATTAAAAGAAGAGGAACTGTTCCATTAAGCCTGTTGACAACTGATTTATGTACAACTGAGCTTTAATTAAAGTCTCATAGGAATACTAAATAGGAAATGGAACGAAAGTTTTAATATTGGGATTGACGCGATGGAAATTAATTATTTCGATGAACAGCTTGCGTTCATGTAATTATTATTGAACGTTAATAGAGCTTCTCTAGTTTGGGCTGGTTCTTCGTTTTTAATATGCTTTATAGAAGATAATATAGTGAAAAAGCTTTCTGTATATATTTTATGAACGCTTTGCAAAGTGAAATATTGATGAAGACRCTAAACTGTTTGAGTTTATAATGCACACATAAACCTACTGTTTGTTATGTTATGGTCTGATATTGGTATATTGATTGATGACCGGAAATGACAAAGAAAACCCTTCGAATTTCTTCTTTGAGCCATGGCAATGAAAGAAGAGTAATTTCTAGTTTAATTGCTGGGAATTTAAGAACCAATTTTGGAGAATTTCATCTCTTTTAATAGCTAATGCCATTGTTTCACATGAAATACTTTCACTTCAACTTTTTTTTCGTTGGAAAAGTGAGCCCATATACGACCAGGTTCATGAGTTCAAGCATGCAAATCAATCCGCAAAAACACTCTCTATGAAGATATAAAGGTTTTGCGGTTTTGAGGGAGAATTAAACAAATCGCTGGATTTCCTGTATCTTTKGAACGAACTGTTCTTGAGCCACTAGCATCAACGACTTGCCTAGCTTCTAAGKTGATTTTCCCGCCATCAAAAACCACGTCGGACGACTCTGTACTTTGATGTTGAGCGAAAATTTTCCAAAGCTAAATAYATAATTCATTTGGCGTTGTAAACTATACAGATCATCAATCAAAAAGTCATTATACTAATCTTAGATGTTTGAAGAATCAAAACACATTGGGTGGGGCTAAGCTGCGGCTGAATGGGGTCAACTGACATTTTATCTTAAAAGGTTTAAACAATTTTCAAATAGTCAAAGACGCACCCTGCACTTTCGTAAAACAATTTGTTCTATGAATTAGCATCAAAAACTGCTTTTTAAAGTAAATATTTTGGTTTTAAGAGGGTTCTCTACGGTGCACTTTATTGGGTTTCGCTGATTGCACTCAAATGGCTTCCTCGACACTGAAATGGTTTTCCTTAACACCTTCAAATGAATGGAAATCAGACTAAAAGCTAACTTATATATTACTTGCCTGTATTTATGTTGCMATGAGGAGAAATTAAGAGAGCATAATTTATGTTCGGAGAAATTCAAGGACCATGCACTTGGATTCGATCTCAAAAGTTGATGAGATCAAAGCACTTACACTTAAATGGATTCCGCACCCAAGACTTCGGCGTCTTTTAATCTACCAGGTCGCAAGACATAATTCACTTACGGAATTGAACTTTTAGGAATTGTTTATCAGTTGATTACCGAGAATATACCTGAGTTCATGAAAATGCCTTGAGATTTGTTGGAGGGTRTAAAATACCGACGGTGCGTATCTGGCCCTCGGTGGCCACACCAGTCGATTAGATTATCGTTGACCATTAATTTAGGTCTCAATCAACCTTTGATGTTTCTATAGATAAGGGGATTTATTTATCAAGGGTTTATCACGTGACTGGCTCGTTTCGATCGTAAGTTTTGCGCGACTAAATGGAAGTTGTGCCTCTTAACAAAACCATAGGCGGATGTACGTGGAGGGTTGGGGGGTACAGACCCCTGTACTTGACGTTCAATTGGCTATTTGGTCCTAAAATGTAGTTTTGACTTGAGATTGAAGTACGTTTCGTATGATACCCCCTCTCCAAGTTTGGACGCTCCCCACCCCTCTAAAAAATTTCCTCGATCCGACCGACAAACGCATGCAATCTTCAGAAATGCCCTGAGAAACATATAAAGAAATATTATTGCAATGGTGCAAGCGTGAAGAAATCATTTAGAAGATCATAGAAATGGTTAGTAAATCCAGTCGAACATTGGTAGTATGAGATTTCCTGACATCACCGTCCACATCCGATTACACCTAACGCTTTTCAATAGCACTCACGCAATCGTAGAATTTGCGTCGCGACAAAATAGGATTTTGATGGAAGTCAATCCAACCATAACGTTGTTGGAAAACACAACAAGGTTTTCAAGTCGTTAYGTGCCTATGGAATGTCATGGAAATGCTTTGATTGACGTCCACCAAGTACTACTTCATCGTTAAGTCGACGATTCCGCGCGTGCGTTTGTACCCGCAAGCCAAAAACAGGCCACAGAGCGATTGCGTGGGTGCGTGCTTGTTGATCGCTGGAGCAAAAAAAAAAAAAAAAAAAAAAAGCAACAAAAAAACAAAAAACATGATCCAATAATAAAATAAAATAAATAAAAATAAAATCCAATAGTATTTCCGCCGCCATAAAAACGATTGTGATTTTGTACGATCCCCCTAAGAAAGGCTTGTAGCTTCTTCCAAAAATTGTGCATCCCCCYATTTTTCTGATAAAAATTTGCCATCCCCCCTTTTTCCTACCAAAATTGATCCCCCCTCGATTTCACCTGCCCCCCCTCTGCCATACATGATGAACGCAGCCTTATCTGCAAACTAAAAGAATTGGTATCTCTATCACCTTCCAATATAGCCTCTTAGTACCCCACCCACTTGGATATTAAGATGAAGTTCCCTTCAAGTTCCAAGTCCTCCCATCGTACTCCCTATTGATTCAATGCCCTACCCCACCACCCCATGAAAGCATGTTAACTGTCCTTCCCATCCCTCCCTCAGAAAGTATCACCTAATTATCTTGAAGAAAATTCAGTATCTCTACTTTCTTTGAAAACAACATCTGTCTTTCAGCACTGAAACATTCAATCAGGATATGAATATTAATCAAGTCTGCAGACRGTAAGCTGATAAGGCTATTCAACTAGAAATAAATGAAACCCATTGTCTGAGGTCAGTCAATAGCTGCAGTCAAAACAAAGTCAAAGCTGAAACAAAGCTACAATAGAGTGCAAATTATATATTGGTGAAATAGAATTAACTAATTAGTACAAAATAGCACCAATGAAATAAATGAAAACAAAAGAAATAGTTTGAATATAATATTTAAGAGCTTTTAATTTAAACCCTATTTTAAAACACATTAGTCTAATCAAGTATAATCTGGTTTGCGATCAAGATATAACCTCTTACTTATCAAATTGGAATGTATAATACATAGAATGAGGTAATAGTAAACTAATAGTTTCTTCTAATGTGTATAATTGGATAGAAAATTGAGATGAGTATGGAGAGAAAGAAAATGGAAGAGGAGAGAATGAGGAATATTAATGAAAGCTTTTCCCAAAAATGAATTTTGTATTGGCAAACCAAAGATGAATCTAACACTCCTTTGATTTTAGTTCAAAATACAACTAATTACTTGGGAATAGATGCATATTTTGTGCTATKTAATGTTATCCCATTTCTAACCAAGTAAATATATTACTTGTTGAGTAAGGCTTAGGCAAGATACATTAATTTGCATGAGACTCAAACAAAGAATTTTATTTTCTAGGCTTTGGCGTGACACATGGTCTGAAATGGAAAAACTTGCCCCAGGCTGAAAGGATCAACGACGCTTCATCAGGAAGTAACAATGACAGTGTTGATGCATTAAAGGTACAGTTAAAATACCAAACTAGGTTGATATTTATAACTGGTCATAAATGAGAGAAAACAAGGGCGGATCCAGCCAAAATTTTAAGGGGGGGGGGGGCTAATAGAGTTTAGGGGGGCTAATTGAGTTTCTTCCGTCAACACAATGGAAAACAATATAAAAAAGCATYGTTTTTTTCTGCTGAAGGGGGGGCTTCAGCACCCCTTTGCCCCCTGGATCCGCCCTTGGAAAAGATAATAAAAGATGTTTTATTCTATAACAATTTTATTTGGCGTGTAAAACAAAGCCACACAATTAGTGACTAAACAGCCAAAGTATATGTAAAACCAAAAGAAATAATGTAAACAAGCAAAATAAATCACTATTATGAGAATAAGAAGTGAAATTGGTMAGAACAGAAATAGGAATAACTGAAAAAATGGAGCAATTGAATAAAAGAATGTGACTAGTGCCAGGATGTAGGAGTGAATGAAGCAATGAATAATGAACAAATGAATAAAGAAATAAAGCAACAAAGTGGAGTGAGTTTAAGAGTAAATGAATGGACAAATAAATGGATAAATGAGAGTGAATGAATGAATGAATGAATGAATGAATGAGCGTAAGAGTGAATGAATGGGTGAATGAATGAATGAATGAGAGTGAATGAATGAATGAATGAATGAGAGTGAATGAATGAATGAGTTTAAGTGTAAATGAATGGTGAATAAATGACATTAAGTGAATGAAAAAATCACGAAATAAACATTATAGTATGGGTGTATTACACCCAAGATTAAATTATCAGGAAATGAAGTACAAAATAATCTGTTTTCTTCTTTGATGACATTTTATTTATATACAAACATTAATTATTAAGATGTACAGTAAACAAGTTCAGAGAATATAAATCACTTGCAG